AGACAGCCTGTGTGTTCCTCTGGCCAGCTTCAAGAGCCAGGAATTTACCCGAGGCTTTTTCCATGAACTGCTCGATAGTGTTGAATTTCTGAGCACTAGAACTGGCGAGAGAGCCCACCAAGTCCTGCAATTCAGCCATCGGATCATTCTGCACTGGGGTGGCAGGGGCTGCACCTGGCTGCTGGAAAGGTCGCGATTGTGATTGAGCAGCATGCCCCTGCATGGGCTGGTAGAGAGACTGCTGCTGCTGGAATTGCCCCTGTCTGGGCTGATATGGCGGCCTCTGGAAGCCCGGTGGTATGGAGTTTGCCCCACCCCAGGAGAAGTTGGGATGCTGGCGCCACCCCTCGTTGTAAGTATTGCTGTAGGGGTCGCTGCGCCTAACATTATTGATGAAGTTCACCTGCTCCTGGGGTGTGGTCGATTCCTTCATCGCCTGGCATTCTTCCAACGTATGATGGGTGCTCTTGCACCAATGGCAGAGCATCGCCTGCTGCTGTCCGGTCCCTGGAATCATCCCGCAACGATCGATAGCTGAAACCAGCTTCGACACCACCTGCACCAAATCAGAGGAATGGTTGCCCACAGAATGTACACCTCGGCTTGGTGCTCTCCTTGACCTCCTATCAGTGCCCCTATCATACCCGTTCTCTGCCATCTCCTCAAAGAGTTGATTCAGCTGTGGTGGTGTTTTGGTAAGCATGTTCCCGCCACAAACTGAGTCAATCAGCTGCTTGTCTTCTGGGAAGAGGGCGTGATAGAAGGTTACCACCTTGAAGGCATCATTGAAACCATGATTGGGACACCTCAGGAAGAGACTGTTGTATCTCTCCCAAGCATCCCTGATGGTCTCATCCTCGTCCTGAGCAAAATTGGTAATTTGCTTCTGCAGGTCCGCCGTCTTGGATGGAGGATGGTAGTGGGTGAGGAACATGTCCGCCAGGTTGGCGAACGTGGTGATAGAGCCTGGAGGTCGAGTATCTAGCCACTCCTTGGCCTGACCCTCCAGGGTGAATGGGAAGTACCTCAGCTGGATGGCATCTGCTGGGACCCCATTGATCTTGATTCCATCGATGAGCTCGTGGAATCGTCTGAGATGTGAACGAGGGCACTCCCTCTCTTTGCCTCGGAACACCACTGAACCGCGCAGCATGGTGATTACTGAGGTGCTCACCTCAAAATTATTGGCTGGGACATGAGGGTGTTGAATGGGTGACCTCATGTCTGCAGCCCTGGCGGTCCAGCAATGTCCCATGGTCTGCTCCTCGGGAAGGACCACATCATGGTCCTGTGGATCCCCCATCTCTTCTTCTTCAGCGATCTGCAGCTGTGCTAGCTCCTCCTCCGCAGCCAGTCGCGCCTTTAGAGCCCGCTTGAAGTTTCTGCAGGTTCGTTCAAGCTCCTGGTCTAGTGGTAGTAGATCTCCCGACTGGCTACGGGTCATGCACTACCTGCACACAATCAGCAGAAGCAACCCGTGAAGCCACACAGGTGGAAGAGATAAAATGCAGTAAAGAAAAAGCTAGAGTAACAGATTTGCACATTTCCCCAATAACCTAGAGGGTCCCCGGCAACGGCGCCAAAAACTTGACACGCCAAAACACAACACCAAACTGCGACCAAGTGTAATCGCAGTCCGGGAATGCAGTAAAATGGCAAGTTCTATTATCAACCCGGGGTCTAGATCTACTGCTTACTCCGTGATTATCAATTATCTAGCCAACTAAGTTAAGTGATTGTTGTTTTAAGCAAAAGCAGAAAGAAAGCAGGAATTGGTACGGTTTTCTCAAGCAAAGAAGAGTCACCCGGGAATGAGTACCCCTAGCTCCTTAGTTAGATTTCAATTGTATTTACCCTGGGTTGATTTACTGTTGATTAGACTGCGGAAGATCCGACAGTAGTTTGGAATCTCTTAACCTGACCAAGCCCTCTCAGTCTAACTATCCGGTAGACGATTAGTCTTCACCGGGATAGAAAGCTGAAGCAATAAGCACAGAACTCCACTACTGGAATTGGATTCTAGTACAAAGCAGTAAACTGGCTAACTCTCGTATAGCCAATCTCCTACTACCGAATGATGAGGCTCTAACAACCTAATCAGATTCTATCTATCTCAGGTTGCAGCAGAAATCAGGAAAAGCTGATCAGACTTCAATTGACTCAATAAACATGCATCATTCGATTAAAACCAAACAGTATAATCATCCCAAGTCATTACAATCAAATCCCTAACACATGGAACTAGGATTCTTCATACCCAAGTGAGAGAAGGTTTCTACTCCATAGAGAGAGAGAGGGGAAAACAGAATACAAAGCAGTCATACTCATAACAATGGGAAGAATCTGCTCTAGGATGATGATTTCCACTCCTATGATGATCTCCAAGCTCGATTTGATGAAACCCAGCTCCAAGATAGCTTCTAGGATGTGTTCTTCGTACTTTCTCTCTCTAGGGATTTGTTTTTGCTCTGAAAATCCGATTTCCTCACTTGCAGCCCGAAATTGGGTAAAAACAAGAAATTCCCGACTCACACGGGCAGGCCACACGCCCGTGTGGCATACCCATCTGCCTGTGTGAGGTCAAAACGCAGCGTTTCGAGTAATTGGGTTTTATGCTTCCCACACAGCCAGGGGCACACGGCCGTGTAGCTCACCCAGCCTGGCCGTGTGAAGCCTCAAAGAATTCCACACGGCCAAATTGCAACTTCACACGGCCGTGCGGATTTTAGTTGTGCCCGTGTGAAGGCTCGCACAATCCCACACGGCCTCCTTGGTCACTTGCACGGCCGTGTGAGTTGTGAGTGTGCCCGTGTGGCTTCCTTTGTGACTTGCCTCGCGCCCGATCTTCGTCCAATCGACCCCGAACTCGATCCTAAACCTTCATTCACTTGCTAGGACCTGAAATATCACAAACAAACACAACCTAGCGTGAAATCGGCCTAAAACACGAGAATCAACACCTCAAACGGCTCCAGAATAGGGGTAAAAACATGTGCAATTAACGGCTTATCATGATGATTCACTATGATAAAGGCCTAGCGTTTTGCAACATTGAAGTTGAACGACGACAATAACAATGAGGGCATTGGACCTCTGTTCCTTGCGACGAAGCATATTTTTAATATTGTATAGTGTTATGGAAAGTTCGGTTTCATGCCATGTGTTGGGACGGAGAACTTCTGGTTGTCTATCTTGACAGGCCGCAGCTCCTGATGTCACTCGTTTTTCATCCCAAATTTTCTAATAGAATATTTATTGTAATTTGATGAATTATGTTGCATTATATTTCATGGATTTTCCCCACTAATTAATGAATACTAGTACTATTGTGGATATAATTTGAAACCTCTTGCATACAGTTAGTTTGGTACATTTGTATGAACATTTTCTGCTGGCAGTTACAACTTACAAACATTTAATAACTTGATTTATTTTATGCATTCCTATCGAATGGTGTACGCTTGTCAGTGGCTTTGCCATTCCTGATTGATTTTGAATAAATGATAGATTTCATCCAATTATAAATAAGAACACATTTTCCAAACTACAACGAGGTTGTCAGAAATTAGTCTTGTTTTGTGAAAATCGATCTAATCACACGGTAGCCGATTTTTTTTTAATAATGGTGACGAGTAGGAAATATATCAGTAATACTAGATGATTAATAAATACTCGTAAGAGTATGGAGTATAATTTGAAACTTATTGCTTACATTTAGTTTGGTACATTTGTATGAACATTTTCTACAGAAGAGAAGAGGGCTACGTCACAACCCGACGCTCAAAAGAAATACCCATACTATCCTCCCTAAGAATGGAACCTAACTCCGGAGGCGGATCAGCAAGTTCATGCATACCCGGACGATAGACGAGACTGTGCTTCGAGAGCCAGTCTGCGGCTCTATTCCCCTCTCGGAATACATGACCCATGTGAACCAACCAATCCTGGGCTAACATCCTCCGAATCGAAGCCAGCAGAGATGCATACAGATGCACAAGATCATGACGACTATTAACCAAGTTGATGGCCAACCGAGAGTCAGACTCGACAATAATGCACGTACACCCCACTTTTCGGGCAAGTTGGAGCCCATAGAAGATAACCCAAATCTCGGCAAGAGCCGCCGAGGCTTCCCCGACCTTGGCTATGAAGCTCGCTACCCACCTCCCACGATCATCACGGATGATGCCACCAGCTCCAGCAAGTCCCGGATTGCCCACCGAGGCCAAATCAATATTCAACTTAACCCACCCGCTGCGAGGAAAACACCAGTGTATATGCTCTGTCGATCTCTCTGGCTCTTTGTGATTTGTGAATCCCGATTTTGAATAAATGGAAGAGTGATGCATTTGCATCCAAATATATATAAGCGCACATTGTCGAAAACTACAACCAGGCCCCCGAAAATAAATCTTGTTTTGTGAAAGTCGATCTAATCATATATGTTAGTTCAATTACTAGATCATTATGGAATCGATATTACTCACATCGCCTCTTCGAAAATCAAGAATCTCATCAGCAATACAAGAAATAGATCGATTAAGTTATATGAAAACTGGATTAATTACCACATCAATTCAATACAAGAAATAGATCGATTAAGTTATATGAAAACTGGATTAATTACCACATCAATTCAAATATCCAACTCGTGTCCTCTCCGAACTCTAAGCTTTATCTCCGCATTAAAAGAATCAGTCTTGAATATTGCTCATGAGTCATGTCGTCTCCAAAATGCAAGAATCATATCGGCATTAAAAGAAGAAGAATTTGAAGTCAAGTCTTATTCTTAACTAAGGTTTCCACCACCTGCGTCGTAATTAATTTTTCCTGTTGCAAAGGATGAGTTCCATTTCAATGATGAAGATTCCAACCCCTACCTTGTGTCAGCAAATTCTTCATTCAATCATTTGGGCCCCTCAGAGCCCATGAATCATGACCCCCCTACGCCAACCCTAACCCTAATCCGATGGTATAAATAGCCAGCGGCCCAGCAGCAGACAACAAATCCATGTCCGAGAATCCTATCTATCTCATTTCTCTCATCCCAAAATCCAAGCAAGCAAATGGCGGCGGAAACTCAACCCGACAGGCTGAGCGCCCTCCCGAACGACATCCTACGAACAATCCTCATCGCCGCCGACCTCGACCATCGAACCGCCGCCCAGACCTCCCTCCTCTCCCGCCGCTGGCGAGACCTCTGGAAATCAACCATCCGCCAACTCCGGTTCGAAACCCCACCCCGCCACCTCGCCACCCTGAGAAACAAACTCCGATTCATCCAATTCGTCGAGACCCTGCTGGCGGCTCGCGAGGCTGGCTCCGAGCTCACCCTCATCTCCATCACCGCCAACGACGCCCTCGATCCAAAATACGCAGACGTCTTCGATCGGATCTGCGCCTACGGATCGGCCCACGGGGTCCGCACCTTCCAGCTCTCTCTCCGAGCCCCGACCCGGGAGATCGTCGGATCCTTTCCGCCCGATTTCGTCCGCCTCTGCATGTCCCTCCACAATCTCGACCTCTCCCTCGTCAGCTTCGACCTCGACGACCTCCGCCGCCGTGCCTCCCACTTCCCGTGCCTCGCCGCCCTCCGCCTCTTCCGCTGCGAGCTTTATGCCCCGCCAGCTCTGGACTATGAACCGTTCGCCAGCCTGCCCAATTTGAAGAAGGTGGTGATATATATAAAATTAAGGACAAGTACTAGTGTTATAATGAATTTCAACTGGTCTACATTTTCATTAATAAATTTTTATTTATAACTACAGTAAAAATGAATTTCTATAATTTTTATTGAACAAATTTCAGAAATGGGTATGATTTTTGCATAAATTCATATATTGAAGTTTGCAAGAGTACCAAAACCATGTGCCTAATATTGGGGTCATCAGGATCCGGACACAGAACCTTTAATTTCAGTCATCTAAGGTTCTGAAAATATGTCTTAAACCATTTGGTTACAAGAACCCGAGTTGTTGGAACTGATTATATATATATAGATCTTGTACCTTTTGAACCAAACTGTTTATGATATGGTATCATAGTTGGCCTAGACGAGAGCAAGAATATTATCGTTGATTAAACCACAAGATATAATAAGTTTGTGCAAACTTAAATCTCGTGAATTGATTTGAGATTGAAGGAACGTATAAGTTAGAAATTAAAGTAGTATAAAATTCACAGTTTACCTAAGTTATTGGAACCAAACGGCTGATGCAGATGGTATCATATATAGTCGCACCCTATATATTTATATTTTATTTTATCACAATTAAAGTATTAGTAAATGTGCACCGTGTTCATGAAACGCAATATTATAGAGGCAGGCACCCTATTCAACTTCCATGAACTCACTCACTCTTGATCAGGTGGAGTTGATCGACAGCGTTTTCTCGACAAAGAACGCAGTGACGGTGTCGGGGGAACAGCTGGAGGAGATCACGATCGTATTCTCCGACGAGCCACATCTGCTGGTCACAAGTATCTGCGCGCCCAAGGCCACGAAGTTGACGCTGGCAGGAGTGAGCCTGAGCCGGTTCGCGAGCGTGAAGCTGCCGTCGTTGGAATGTTTGGACATCGACGTGTGGGTGAGGCGGCCGTGGGATACGACGGTGTTTGCCCGGCTGAGGCGAGCGCTGTATGTCCCCTGGGAGGAGCGGGTGGATGCGGACGTCAGGTTTCTGAATACGTTTCACAAGTTCGGGAGGGCCATGTTTGTCAAGCTGCATCCTAGTACCATTGAGGTAAACAATTTAATTTGTTAATTAAAACATGTTTAATGGAAGCTCGTACGGTTGAGATCTATCTTTTTTGTGGCGCATGCATATTTATTGATTTGTGATGATGAAGTGTTAAGGTTTACGTAATACGTTTGATTAATTGTTGGGTTTTTAATTTCTTGTGGTCATCAGCGGCTCGTCACCATGGTTCCTGGTCTACTAGAAGGAGCAGAAGGTTCTCCATTCAAAAGAATGAGGTCTCTGGAGCTCTGTGGTCCTGAACCCGGCAACAGAGAGTTCATCTCTTTGGTTAATTACTTCTTTATGCATCAGTGCCTTAGAGGAGCTCATCTCTCCAAACGTACTTATGTTTCACAAGGTACGTACGCATTATAAATTATATATATATATATATATATTCTTCTTATTGCTCGATCGGCAAGCTAGCTTTTGTGCCTTTGCATTTGTACTGGTCAATTTGGTGGCTCTTACGGCGCAATACACACAAAATGAGTGCATGTCATTCATTATTTCTTAGCCGTGGAAAGTAGGTAATTGCATGGATTTGGGTGTTAAATTAACCCACTGATGATTACTACTCAGTTGGTAGAATCACGACCCATCATTTACCCATATTCTTTTTCAAGTTGTGTTGGATGGATACGATTGTGTTGAGAAATCGCGCAACAACCACAAACAAGAATAGAATGCACAAGACATACGATTTTTACGTTGAAAATCCAAATCGGGAAAAACCACAGGACCTTTGTCCAAACCACAACTTCACTAGACTTTGGTGGGTTTACAAGTCCTCTCTAGACTAGCTAGAGAATTACAAAGTCCTCAAGAACACCCTTCTTGGATCAACAATCAACCACAATAGCACTCACCAACATGGTGGATAACTAGAACAAGAGCAAGACAAAGAGAGGTTTAGAGACACCAAAAGACAGATTAGTACATCTTCTGTCCAGCAGCTATTCCCAACGAAATAGAGCTCAGAATGACGATCCCTCCAATCAGAATGAAGCCCTGACAATTGGAAACCCACTGTTCAAATTTCAGGATGATCCAACGGTTCAATCTTCCAGAACTTTCACTTGAACAGACTGTCCTGCTACAGAAACGAAAAACTGCAGCTCTTTCTCTCTTCTCTCTTTTTCCTTATCTCTTCTCTTTTCTGATTCTCTCTCTCTCTAAAAATGAAAGGCTGACTCCTCTTTTCACTTTTAACCAGACAATAACTCTCTATTTTTGAAAATAGAGGATCTTCTAGAAACCAACCAAAACTCAAACCGGTTAATCCAACCACCATATGAGTTGGACCAACCCAACAAATCTCCCCCTCCAGCTCATATGGGAGGTAGCACCAAACCTGCTTCATCTCGACAGAAGGTATGTTTTCCACTTGGAGAGACTTAGTCATCATGTCCGGACAATTTTTCATCCGTATGCACTTTGTTGCGCTCCAACAACTTCTTTTCCAAAACATCACGAATCCAATTATATCGAACATCTATGTGTTTCTACCTTGAGTGGAAAGTTGGATTCTTGCAAAGATGAATTGCACTTTGACTATCACAATAGAGCACATGCCTCTCTTGCTTGATGCCCAACTCTTGAAGAAACTTCTTCAACCATAGCATCTCTTTACAAGCTTCTGTCACGGCTATGTACTCGACTTCTGTTGTTGATAATGCAACACATTTTTGCAGTTTAGATTGCCATGAAACTGCAGCACTTGCACAAGTCATCATGTATCCAGAATTCGACTTTCTAGAGTCCACATCACCTGCCATGTTAGCATCGGTATATCCATCAAGTATGGTCTTGCCATTACCAAAGCATAGACACACTCTAGAAGTACCTCTCAAGTAGCGAAGAATCCACTTCACTTCTCTCCAATGTTCTTTCCCCGGATTGGAAAGAAACCGATTAACAATCCCAACGGCATGAGCAATATCCGGCCTTGTGCAAACCATGGCATACATCAAGCTTCCCACAACTAATGCATAAGGCACATTCTTCATTACTTATTTCTCTTAATCACTTGTAGGACAATGCTTCACACTCAACTTGAAATGTCCTCCAAGTGGAGTACTAACCGCCTTAGCCTTGCTCATGTTGAACCGCTCAAGAACTCTTTCAATATACCTTTCTTGGGACAACCAAAATTTTCCATTCCTTCGATCCCTAGAGATTCTCATCCCTAGAATTTGTTTCGCCGGTCCTAAGTCCTTCATGGCAAAGGATTTACTCTACTCCTTTTTCATTCTATCAATCTCTCCAACATTCCGACCCACGATCAACATGTCATCCACGTAAAGCAAGAGAATGATGAAATATTTTCAGCAAAGTATTTCACAAATACACAATGATCGGAGGTAGTTCTTGCATACCCGTGGTTGACCATGAATGAGTCAAATTTCTTTTACCATTGCCTTGGTGCTTGCTTCAACTCATATAAGCTCTTTCTCAATCTGCATACAAGATCTTCTTTGCCTTTAACCTCGAACCCTTCCGGCTGATCCATGTATATTTCTTCCTCTAATTCTGAGAGTTCTTGAAGTTGGAATTTCGATTTCTGTTTTTTCCACGACTTCCAGAATTATCCGCCACCAAAGCATGTGACTCCGATGTAATCCCCAAATCTTTTCTCCTTGCCTCTTCATTCAGCATGCTATCCTTGACAATGTCTATCGTCAACTTGCCATTAGGTGCTTGCTAAGTGAGACCACCAAAGTCTCCCAACTATCCAGCAAGGAGCTAACAATGCTTGCACTTCATCATCAATGTGCTAATTTCATAGTAGTTAGCTGGTTCACAAGCCATTGAAAGTCACTCAAATGCTCCAAGACACTATGCACATCCTTGTACTTCAAGTTCACAATTCTTCGAATGAGTGAGGCTTTATTTTGAGTCGATTGCCTCTCATACATGGACTCCAATTTGTGCCACAATTCATCTGCTCTTGTATCTTTTGCAACATGGTGAAAAATGCTTTGGCCAATCCATTGTCGAATGATTGCCACCGCCTTGCTATGCAAGACCTCCCATTGCTTCTCGGTCTTGTCTTCCGCCTTCTCGCTGCCATTTTCAATTGGTTCATAGAGATCCTTGAAAAACAGAATATCTTCCATCTGTGGCTTCCAAATAGAGTAGTTGGATGATGTCAACTTGATCATTGCTCCACTTGAATCATCAATTCTGGCCATTCACTATACACAACCCCCAAACAACCTAATGCTCTGATACCACTGTTGAGAAACCAGGCAGCAACCACAAGCAAGAATAGTATGCATAAGACACACGATTTTTACGTGGAATACCTAAATCGGGAAAAACCACGGGACCTTTGTCCAAGCCACAACTCCACTAGACTTTGGTGGGATTACAAGTCCTCTCTAGACTATCTAGAGGATTGCAAACACCTCAAGAACACCCTTCTTGGATCAACAATCAACCACAATAGCTCTCACCAACATGGTGGATAACTAGAACAAGAGCAAGACAAAGAGAGGTTTAGAGATACCAAAAGACAGATTAGTACACCTTCTGTCCAGCAGCTATTCTCGACGAAATAGAGCTCTGAATGACGATCCCTCCATTTAGAATGAATCCAGACAATTGCGAACCCACTGTCCAAATTTCAGGACGATCCAACGGTTCAATTTTCCAGAACTCTCACTTGAACAGGTTGCCCTGTTGCAGAAACGAAAAACTGCAACTCTTTCTCTCTTCTCTCTTTTTCCTTATCTCTTCTCTTTTCTGATTCTCACTCTCTAAAAATGAAAGGCTGACTCCTCTTTTCACTTTTGACCGGACAATAACTCTCTATTTTTGAAAATAGAGGATCTTCTAGAAATCAACCAAAACTCAAACCGGTTAATCCAACCACCATATGAGTTGGACGAACCCAACAAATCGGGTTTTGGATTGACTCGCAAAACTGACTCTTCTACTAACCATTAGATGAGTTCACTAATATTTCTTACAATAAATTCCTTCCAAATTAATTGAGAAGATTATATAAATTTTTCTACATCTCGTTTTGTATCTCATGAATGAATCTAATAATTACTTGTAGCGTGCAAAGAATCTATTAGTCATACCAACTTTTCAGTTGGTCATTTTTAATGAAATACTCGTTGATAGAATAAAAAAAAATCAATAACAATATATCCCTAGAAACCATGACTCTTCACGGATGTTGATTTCATTTCTTTGGCAAAAGCTATCAATTATTTCCTCAATTACTTCCTCAATCCATCAACCAATTACAGACAAAAATAATGTTTATTTTGGCTTTGATACAATAATTGTTTGTAATATGCATCCCATTATCAAACAAACATTAGATAATATAGTAACCGATATTAGTAAGCCAAATAAAAATTTGTTTTGGAATTCGATGGTTAGTGTAAGACATTAGACAAATCTCAAATTCACAAAAAAAAAAAAACAAAGAAGAGATCCATGATTCATAAGTTAAAACCGACGTTTACTGACAAGATGCATTTTTGTGTGAATTCAAAGAGTTCTTGTAAGAACTTTGAATTAAACATGCTCATTGTGAAGTAATGCAAGGATGTTTGACCTCTCGAAAAGTCACCTTGATATGCACCACAATGCAAAAAATGTGTTGGTTAGACCCAAAACGAACAATATATTGGTAATAAAGATGTACGGAATGTTATTAATGTCATACGGTTAACAAATATGACGATCTTTGGATAGTATGGAAAAAAAAAAACACTCTTCGTCATAAAAAAAAGGTGAGTTCCAAGTCATTTAGGTGATTCTCAATCCACCCAAAACTTATCCGAAATAATAATTAGATAAATCTGCTATGTAGTGGTGCTCTGTTATCCCGGTTCGTTTGCGAAGATGTTGTATTTTCCTTGATTTTAATAAATTGTTATCACCATCATAAAAAAATATAATTAGTCGAATTTCTAGGATATACAAAAAGACCGTAAAATACTAGAAATCGTAAATGAGTTTTGTCCAAAATCATATTTTTTTCTCATCATAATACAGTAAAAGATTTTCTCTTGGTAAGTACTGTCAAAACTACTGTTCAAAACTTGAAAAAATTGTGCTAAACTTAAATTAATTTCATTTGCTTGCAGAAGGCGGCGATACCTCTCGTGTGGTCATTGTCCTCCGGGAAGATGGGAACGATGACTAATGTCATATTCATAAAAACAAAATAAAAGGGTGAGCCATATGCTGATTGCTTGCTAAAGCTAAGAGCTAATTTATTAGTGGATCAGTACTGCTTTGGAAAACTTTTACCAAGATTCTCACCACCTAGACAACAATGGAGTTGGACCTTAGAACATTGTTTAATTATCTTGGGCTATTTTATGTTCTGTTGTAAACTTAATGGATGTTTATGGATTTTGTTAGTTGATTTTTATCATGCATGTATGTCCTTTTAATTAATTTGCAAGATATGTTTGGTGCTTATATATTTATCCCCTTGAAATGGAACTCATTATGGTTGACAGATGGATCATATATTTTCTCTATCGGATGTTAATGAACAATCCAAATGAACATATGAAAAAAAAAAAAAACAAGATAATTCGATTTATGTGATATCTATGACAGATGGATTAGATATTTTCTCTTAGAGTTGATATTGAATTGCCACCAACCCGCAATAAACACAATTTTTGCTTCACTCGGATGATTTTGGGTAGACATATATATAGCACTGCAACCATCCACGACCAATACCTAATCACCTATACTTTCGACTTCATCCCATGTTTGCTTATCCTCATTGATCTTGTCTACGGGGAAAGCAATATAATACTCCTATAGTACCAGAAAAACCCTAGTATATTTTGCTGGAAGGTCCTATGATCAATTTTTTCATACACTTTGTAAATTGCTCAAATACTTGATAGAGTACGTGAAAACAAACACCAAAAGATTTAATGAATTATCTACCAATCAAATTTCATCTATTATATAATCATTGTTATAAAAACCAAACTGAATCAGCGACTGAACTAGTAGAATAGTCAGACTAGTTACAATAGCGATTCGGTCCGATCCATTTGTTTGGACGGCTAGATATGGACCAAATGGTTTTTAGTGGTTAGACATGAAATCAAATGAACCACTCCAATTTTACTGGTCCACTGATTCATTATTCTAATTAAAAAAAAATACTTTAATATGTAAATAATACCATCCAAATTGAATAACTAGTTTTATTTACAGTTAATAGCATTTAACTTTTAGCCCTTAAAATATTTATTTTTCTATCATCGCCCCAAAAGTATAGAATTTTCCGAATCTGATGTTTAGCATTCAAAAGTTCATTAATCTCCGTCAAATTGGGACCTACTAAAGCATTGACACGGACTCATTAGTCATCTCTATAAAAGTCCTCATAATTACAAAAAAAAAATATATATATATATATATTCCTCCATATTTTTAACTCTCTCCCCAACTAATCCCTCTCGTGTTTCACCCTACAATAGTACAATTTCAAATAAAAACCAATAGATCGGCATATCTTTTGTCAAAACTTAAAAAAGGATTAAAATAGCAAGAATAACTTTGTAATTACATTATATTATGACTAATTCAACACCTAATTAGTGTGTCATGTGAGCAGTTTGATCTCTGTTTAAGAGAATATTAACAGTCTTTTAACAGTAAGGGTCACATTAGAAAAATGGTTATATTTGAAGGACTATGTTAGGAAAAGAAATAGTGCAGGGTTCATGCACGACTAATTTTATTGGTTAGGAATATCGAATTTTCTTATAGTTTTACACGCTCTACAAATGAAACCCAACAATTCCTAATCTCAAACAACATCTTTTTTTTTTTTGTTACAGTGATATATATATATATATAAAAATAGAAACTAGAATAGAAGTTATATATACAATCAAACTGGAAAAATAAACTGATAAAAGTAGCACATGAAAATAGTGAAATCAAGACATTAAAAGCCAACCTCATGCTAAACCTCCAACTATAAATACCCTTCAACAAATCCAGCCTTCTTCATACCAAACCCGAGGTCTCCAGTACTACTGTTGTATTCATTATTATAGTTCATCCTTTCCGCTAAGCGGAAACTGGTGTGCAAAAGAATGGGTGCAAGAGTTTTCCGTTTCTGACCTTTTACGTTATGAACGAAGAACATGCATTTTTTAGAGTCTCAATTTTATTAGATATCAACTTCGAACCTGCTCATCACCTAAACAGTAAATAAGTTGTATCATCTGCAGGCATAACATGTACGTTCATACAAATAAGCTGTCAAAGCGTATGTGTACAAAACAATTTCAAATTCTCTTGCCCACAGATACCACGTACTACTGCTTATTAAACAGAAGGGAAAATCCATGAAGTACAATTCCCTGCATAAAACACGTTATCAAATGTATCATGAGAGCAAAACGACTCCAATCTCTTAGAGCTGATATTGTACACAGCTAACTCGTAATAAACACGATTTTTTCTGCACTCGGGATGATCTTTGATAGACACATACATAGCATTGAAACCATGTACGAACAATGCGTAATCACCTATACTTTGGACCTCATCCCATGTTTGTTTATCCTCGTTCATCTTGTATACGGTGAAAGCAATATCCTTATAATCCGAGGACCTCCTAGCAATATCTGCTGGGAGGTCCTCGTGTTGATGATCGTAATTACGGCTAATCACCAGCATCAATTCCCCGTCAGGATTTACCAGAATGCTAAACTCACGAATTTGGGACCAGATTTGATCAGAAATTAGGAAAGCTCGTGACACCATTGGATGCGGGCCATCCAGATCACAGACCAGAATTTCTCCGTCCCAACGGATGACGTGAAACCGATCTTTCCAGAAAACAATATTCTGTATGAGCTCCACCGTGTAAGGAGGGAAAGGGATCGAGGTCCAATATCCTTCTTCTTGTTGTTTAGATCCAATCTTGCAAAAAGCTAGGCCGTGGTCGCCTTCGGGACCCGGATATCCATGGTAGGGAACCATGACGATGCATTCCTCCGTCGTCATGGGATCAGCTGACATCGCAAAGCACGTAATACTGTAAAAAAGGAAGAATGTAATTGGTGGCAAACAAATCTTATTCCCCGTGAAAGGTTCCAACAAAAAATATTCGTCGGAAATCCATGGCTTGGTTGGTATAAGCATCCAGCCCGAGGCCGAGCCGCGAGCTCCCTTGGCCTCCACGCTTTGGGGTAAATCGACGCGGCGGATCTTGTCGTTGGATCTCCGCGCGAGATCAATGAAGTGATGGCAGTTTTCGCCCGCGCAGCAGCAATCGGGCTTCTTTATATAGCGGCATCTCAGCCACGGCAAGGATTGACGAAGCTTTATTGAGGGGCGCCTCCATGGCTTGCAAACGGCTCGGAAATAGACGACGTCGTCTGCTTTGGTTAGCCGCCTTATGATCGCGTCGAGGAGCTCTCCCGGCAGTTCCGACCAATTATCGCGCTGCTCAGAGGCTACGCCGCCGCCGGTCATGTTGGAGATTCGATGAACAAAGTATGGTGTGTAGTCTCAGTTCTCGTGATCTGGATCTCTGTACATATTTAACGATTGTTGGTCATAAATTCCTTTTTAGGGTTTTTGAAGAGTGAGGCATTCCATCCGTTTAGAGTTTTTGCTATTTGTAAAGGGCTTCACAGGGCCCATAATTCAGGCAAGATAACTAAGAGGTGTTTAGGTTTTGCATTAAGATTTGGACGAAGAGCGGCAATTCTGTCTGTGGTGCCGCTACGGCACCGGTACCGGCACTTATTTATGACCGGTTCAAACAGTATATTATGGTTCAGGAAGGTGGTTGGGTTTGCAATTATTGGGTGAATCTGGACTGATTAACTAATAAATAAAACAAGAAGAAATTAAAAGAAGATAAAAACAAGAGGCAGGGTACAGGGTTCCGTTCCTCCTTCACTCTTTTTCTTCTTTTATGATCCTTCGAACTCCATCGAATCGCAGCAGCAACCAACAATCCACCACCATCATCGCCGTTTTCGTTGATCAACCATCATCACTATGAACCCGAACCCCACATCAGTAGAAATCACCATCTTAATCAGCCCCGTTGTTCCCGCTTGGTCATCGATCGCCTCGTCCCTGCCCCAGCAATCCACCACCAACATCCAAGTTTCCGCTAATCGGCCATCATCACCGAGAACCCTCGTCAGTCGAAATCACCACCGTCATCAGCCCTATTGCGGCCCGGTCATCGCCAACGGCGTCTCTGCCGAGGTAATCCACCACCATCATCACCGCCGTGCCGCTGGTCAGCAATCACCGACCCCCAGTCAGTTGAAATTGCCACTGTGACCAGGGGCGATAGGATGATGATATTGAGAGTCTTCCTTCTAAGAGATTTTGCCTACTGCTGCAAAAAAAAGGAGTAGCTTCAAGGAACAGAGCTAATTGGGAATCAATAATCTCCATCGCCTGCATGATGCTGCTGCTACAAGAATTTGGTCAAAAAATACAAAAATCCCACTCAGAAAGCACTACATGATGATGCAGACTATATGAATAGTGATCAGAGTGAGGTGGAGAAGATGGATTTGATTTTTCCGATAGAACAGGGGATTAGGGAGGTGAGATCTCTTTCAGAATTTGCTCTCCGTAAAATTGGGGAAAATCACGTGGAAACAATTCAATTACTTGGATTTTGTTGAATGAACAACAGGTTCAACCAAATATAATAGGTTCAACCGATTTTGGTTAAGTGGTTGTTATTAATCAATGGTCCTTATTAAATATCACAAATTCAACGCTTCAGAAACTGGCGGCACTAGTGCCGGCACTGTACCACAGAATTCGCCCGAAATGAGTTACGTGACAACTTATATCTACAACGTTCAATTTTTTTTGGCTTAATTGCAAGATTGGTCACTCGAATTGCTATAAAATTTCACGTTTGCCACTCAAATTAATTTATTCCATTTATAGTCACTCTAATTAGTTGAACAGTTCAAGTTCGGTCACTCTCCGTTAACCTCCGTTAACTTTGACTGACGTGGCGGTCAACTCTGACCATTGACCGTTAAATGTGTGACGTGGCAAATAAAAAATAATTAAAAAATTAAATTTTTAGAAATTAGACATCATTATAAAAAAAATTATAATTATAAAAAAAATTATCAAAAAACTTGAACTGCCACTCCGACCACTCTGTTTCCAGATCGGACTTCCAACGTCACCGAATTGGCCGGCGGCATTGGCATCTCGACGACAACCTTCTCGTTCCAATTCCTTGAAAGTGAACTTCCTTGGCCCTGCCCCTTTCCCCAAGATCTCATCCATCAGTCGGCCATCAAGTTCCGGTTGCTCTGCATCCTCTCTCAACCGACGCAGTCTTTTGTTGTACACAATTCTCCCAATCAAGGACAACAAACTAATCAGAAAACCCCCACCAACTGCAAAACCCACTAGAACCCTCGAACCAACTCTGTTTTTGCCCTTCCTAGCGACAGGAGCAGAATTAGTAGGAGCAACGAATCGTTCCAAGTTGGAAGCAAAATCCCAGGAGTGAATCCTGTGAACGGCGACTAACCGACCGGTGGAACCGGTGAACCCAAAAGTGGTCTCTTCGGGAAGGTAATCCCACAAATCGACAATGCAGCCGAGCCGCTGAATCGTCGAAACGTTCCCCGCGTACCCAGTTACCACAACGCTCAAGTTACGGAGAGTGGAATTGTAAGATATCCAAGCATCGCTCTTCCTCCCACCCATGATATCGCCTCCCCAAGGTGCGATCGTCACGGATGCCATCGAATTGATGTCGATCCCAACGTGGGTCCCAACCGGATCGAAGTAGTTGCCGAAGATGTCGAACTCGAAGGCCATGAAACGGTTCTCGGTGGCGTTCAATTGCCGGAGAGGAGGTTGGTGGCGGCGAAGGAATTGGAGTATTCGAGGACCGTGGGTAGTAGAATGGCGAGGACCTCCGACGCTCAAAATGGCGGCCGCCGGAACCCAGACTCTCGAATTCACGGTCCTCTTAGCAGAGGACCTCCGCCTCGAGGGGAGACCCGTCAAGAAGAATTTAATTTTTAATTTATAATTATAATTTTTTTTTATAATGATGTGTAATTTCTAAAAATTTAATTTTTCTTTTTTAATTATTTTTTATTTGCCACATCACACATTTAACGGTCAACGGTCAGAGTTGACCGCCACGTCAGTCAAAGTTAACTGAGGTTAACGGAGAGTGACCGAACTTGAACTGTTCAACTAATTCGAGTGACTATAAACGGAATAAATTAATTTGAGTGGCAAACGTGAAATTTTATAGCAATTCGAGTGACCAAACTTGCGATTAAGCCTTTTTTTTTAATTAACGATCCATATTCAATATTGTTTTGGGTAGTTCTGAAAATAAAAAGTTACATTACTTATTTATATTGATCCTTAGTCGCGTTTGAGGATTTTTTAACAGGTCGTGTTTCGTTCAACTTAGTTGAGACGACTGTTTGCTAGCTCTTGTTTATATATTTTTTTTATAATGGTGAAACTTGATTGAAATGGAAAAGAGAGGTTCAAAATACAAGGGGATCATGAAACATGATCCGGAGAACAAACAAGGAGCCATCTGCTAAGTGGACTAGACCACTCCTACAGAGAAAGGAAAAGGACAAGGCCAACAAACGTAAACAAGCAAAAGGAGAACGTAGGAAACAACAGCATGAACAGGTCACAACATCACTAGGCCAGAGCAGCAGCGAACACAGCTAAGAGTTAGCATCCCCGCGCAAATCAGACCCAACAACTTCATGACTCGGGTTGCGAAGCAGACAAAGAAGATGCATCATCGATAACCACTCTTTCCGGCTATGATCGCTCAGGGTTCCAGCCACCATAACTCAATTCAAGAGGGACCTGCACATCTTATGGAAAACAGCCTGCCAAGTGCTAAATTTATTCTCAAAAGTTTTTGCATTCCTCTCCTTCCAAAGCTCCCAAGAGAACGCATGAAGCAAGTCGGATGCGAGCGCACTCTTCCAAGACTGCCAATTGTCAGTGGTCCAACTTCTAATGATGGAGGTAAAGCAATGGGGATGAGGTCCCTGGAATTTGATCATCTGCTGAAGGAGAGACCAAATTCTGCTGCTGAACTGGCAATGACAGAAGAGATGGTTACTGGATTCCTCAGCCTCGTTGCACAGGACGCATATGCTCGCAAGATTCCATCCATTTCTTTTCAAGTTCTCGTGTGTTACGATAAGTTCGTGCATGAGAAGCCAAAGGAACGCATTCACCTTTGTTGGAACATCCGGGCGCCACACCACCTGATGAGGAAAGTTGTCGACACCGGTTAACTTTTCTTTAGCAAGGATGCGGTACATAGATTTCACAGAGAAGCCATCTTTTGGACATGGACTCCAATGAACTTTAGTTGGACCTGCAGTAATCAAATTAGGGGGTAAAAGGGAAAAAACATTCATAAGGTCACTCCTCTTACGATTCCCCACCACTCAGAGTTATATTTAAGGAAAGATCTCACCTCACACACTCATTTTCAAAGGATATGTGATCGGACACCCAAGCATCATGGTTGGAAGAAGCAACAACAACCCTGGGGAAGTCATCTTTCAGAATCTTTCCTAGAATCCAGCAGTCGTTCTGATTCGGGCTTAAATGTACATGTCTTGCCCCCGTTTTCCTTAGTCGTTTGTGGCAACTTCTGGAGGCGAGTGAATCCTAATCTGGAAGAAGTAGTTAAAACAGAAGTGATCAAACTACTGGATGTCGGGATCATCTACCCTATCTCGGATTGGCAGTGGGTGAGTCCGACCCAGTGGTGTTCCTGCAAAATGTAAGACCCGGAGTCTCCATCTAGCTCAAGACGTTAAAAAAGCGCTTGTTGGGAGGCAACCCAGCAGAGGTTAGCAAGTTTTCCCTACCACTATTATCGTATTGTGTTTGTAATAACCTCGCCTCGAGCGAGTCGTATTGTGCTTGTGTGTGTGTTTTTTGTCTCTCCTTGAAGCTCAAAATATCATACCTCGGATTCGATTCCAACTTTCACTCACCAAGCCCAAGCGGTAACATCATTCTACCCCTTTCTTACGCCATTGAGGGCAATGTCGAGTTTAAGTGTGTGTGTGTGGGGGGGGGGGGTAGTTTACTATTATGCTTGTGTGAGTGTGATGGATGATTGGAGCCTTGATAAATGCCCAAAATTCAAAAATTTGAGGGATCCAAGCAATGTTTGCATGATCAAAGTGGTCGGTGTGTGGGAAATTCTCGTATTTATTGGCATTGATCTTGAATTGTTGCATGTGATCAAGTATATCTATGATGATGACTGAGAGGTTCATTAGGTTAGTGCAAAAGTTTAGTTCTCATGTGTGCATAAATGAATGGATGTCTTGACTCGATTACTTGCTGATTACAATTGCCATGCATTGTGTTTGTGAATTGGAATAGATGGTTGGGTGACTAGGTAGCCATGTGAGCTTTGAGCCGATCGTTTTCTTCTTGTGTGCTTAGATCCCTCTTACCATGGCGAGTAACATCAAAGTTGTCACTAGTGAGTATGATTGGAGGCATAGGATTAGTCCACGCCCAAATGTTGATTGTCCCGAAATGTGTTATCCACTAGTCAATCCCTTTGAGCCTTGTAGCTTCGTGGGTCGTTCTTAAGTTAGGAGCTTCGTGCTTGTGAGCTTAATGGTGTTAATAGAACGACACCCAATCCTTTCTTTGTGTCTAAACATGAGTCGTCCTTGTGTCCCGGTGCTCTCACCTTTGAGTTTCCCTAGAGGTTCTACATAGGAGGTTTGTGAGCGGTTCTTGCTAGGAATGAAAAAAATGAAGTGTAGTGTTTGAGTGAGTTCCTCAAAAAGAGAGCATTGGTCCTTAAATGTATAGGTGGAAAGTGTTTTTACTCTCTAGTATCCCCCTCAAAAAGAACAAAAAAATAAAGAAACGAAAAGAGAAACAAAAAAGAGGTAATAAAATGGTGTAAATAAAGTAGAGAGTGCCACGAAAAACCAAAATAAAAGCTCTAGGAGGGGTTTCTTGGCACCCAAGCCATTGAAACCCCCACATTGTTTTAGAACTCCTTCGCTACCAAACCTTAATGTGCTAGCAAGAGTAGACCGATGAAGAGTGCTTCAATGTAGTTCACGATGGGTGATAGTTTGGAAAGGAGAGATAAGGTTTTTGGCCGATACTAGTGGCCTTGGGTTGAAGAGAAGGATTTTAGTCGAAACCATAGAACCTTAGGGTTTAGGTTGAAGATGTGAAACCTCACGTCATGATTGCCACCACCCAAAAAGCCTTTTTCCCATGTCCAAGACAATTGCCAGTCATTTGAACCCTCGTCGAAGACCTACGGACAAGCTAGTGGTGACAACCATCCCGTGAACTCTAGCATTTATAGGTTACCGACGTGGTATTGAGACGATAGGGACAAGAGTTTATGATTGTGATCATCTTTTGCACCCAAAAGGTCACGACCCCACTGGTCTTGAGAGTGAGTAATTCATTCTTGCTTTGCAAATCAAATCATACCTCGGTGAGGACCTTTGTTGCCTTTCCATTGGTTCTTCGAACTTGAATTCCATGCATGGTTGGTTGTGGTTGATAAGTGGTCTTGTTGAGACTTGCATTGATCCACATAAAAAGTGAGAATTTTTCGTTTGCTCGTTTTTTGTGGTTTCGAATGTCGTTTCTAGTGGATGTCGATATTGCTTGCAACAGTCCATGTATTGATTTCCAATAGCCATTGAGAATTCCCACTTTGTACCCTTTGAGTTGTCCCCAAAGTATTTGTGTAGGTTGAAATATTACCTTTTGTGAAATGGTTTGCTTGGGGACAAGCAAACGTCTAAGTGTGGGGGAGTGATTCGAGCCTAAATGTACATGTTTTGCCCTCGTTTTCCTTAGTCGTTTGTGGCAACTTCACTCCTAAAATGTTGATTTTACACTAGGTCTCTCGTGTTTTAGTGTGTTTCAGGATTTAACAGGTGAAACCAGCCTCTGAGTCGAAAGTTGGACGAAAAGGATCTAAAACCAGGACAAGATGTGAAAAAGGGCGAGATCACGGTTTTCTTGGGCTATTCACGGTCTTACATGACCTTGAAGAAGAGCCATTGGCCGTGAACCTTGAAACGTCCAGAGCCAAAATGCAAGTTACTGACGCAAAACGTGTTCACGGTCACTAAGACCATGAACAGGAGTTGTGGACCGTGAACACAAGGAAGCAAAGCGGTGCGTTTCGGCGCCCAATTGGAGTTCACGGATGCGTTTCAGTGTTCACAGCTGAGAAATGGAGCCGTGAACACAGCCCTTTCCCTGTTTAAAAGCTAAACTGAAAGGAAGAAAGGGGGGAGCCCATTTGAGTGAGAAATCCTTCTTTTGATTTCTAGAGAGAGAAACACGAACCAAAGAAGAAGGAGGCTAGGTTTTTGCCCCAAGGTGGATTTTGGGAAGATTTCCTCCAAGGAAAGTTCAACACAAGGGCCAAGAAGATTGGAAGCCTCCTCCAAGATGGTTTCTACCCTTTCTTCTTGTGTTTCTCCCATCTCTAGCATGAAGTAGAATTCTTTTCACTTGGGTCTTGTGAAACCCTAACTCTACCATGTAGTTTTCTTTTATGTGAATTGAATGATTGTCATTGGGTATTGTTTAATTCAAATGTTTGAGGTATTATTCATCTTGATTGTGCATGTTTGTGCTTAGCATCCTTAGGTTTGTGCATGTCTATGCTTAGCAACCTAGAGATTGTGCATGTTTATGCCTAGCAATCTAATTAGCCACTTAACCTAGTTTAGAGAGGGAAATCCCCCTTCCAAGGGAGTCTCAATCGAGTTGGTATCCCTAGGGCTTTTCAAGTCTTCTAACTAGGTTAATTTCGTGCAACCCTCAATATTGGATTAAGCAATTTGGTTAAGCGCGATTAAACCGCCCAACTCTTGGGTTGAGTGAAAAAGTAAGTCAACCATTGATTGCCTAAACCGAGAGGGCCTAGTGACAGCCTATAATGCATGCCTCGGTTTAGCAATCATGAGCGTGGTCTATGACTATATTTGTGTCCCCTAGCGGTTAGCGCTCACCTTTCCTATAGCAATCGTTTCGGTTCACATAACATGGTAGTAGTTATGGGGAAGCGACACCAGAGTGATCCTTCCACAATAGAGCTTTCAAAACCATTCACCTTTGTCTTGTTTTACTTTAATTAGCAAACTTTTCAACCAAAATCTTATTGCTAGATAATGATTCAAATGACTGAAGTAGGGGTAGAAGGACCAGCCCGGGTTGATATTTAAACATAGTTATCATGTACTACACCCTACTAAGGTTTATACTTGGCCCTTAGGCGGGAAATTATGGTAGTATTTGGGACGAATCACGTTCCAAAAGGACACCCAAGCTCCTCCACCCGGGTTAACAAATGCAAATTTCCAGAACTGACCTTCCTCCTTCATGATACTTCTTTGCAAGAATCTTTGGTTGTGGATGGAGTTACCTGTCGACTTTTTATCTCGACGCCCCTCTTGGTGCAAGTACGAATTCTACCTCAATTTGGAATAAGGTTCTTGCTAAATTTCAGTCAAGACTTGATGGGTGGAGAGGGAAATTCTTATCGATGGGCGAGAGGATTGTCTTGTGCAAAAGTAGCCTCACAAGTCAGTCGCTCTACCTTTTTTCCTTGTTAAAAGCTCCAAAATCAACCATACAGAAAATGGAAAGATTAGAATGCTATCTCTAGTTATTAATATATATTATTAATTAATATTAATTATTAATATATAAACGACTAACATGGGAGTTACTATTTATTAGTGACTCTCACACTCTTTCAAGTGCAAGTGGGAAAATTTCAAGTCATTCTTTTACCCTACTCTCTATTCTACAACCTTTTTATTTAGTTATTGTTTGCTATGTTTTTGTCTATGGCTTTTTGCACAAATCAACGCATTTGTAATTTGTATTGTTTGTTAGGTTTTTGTCTATGGTTTTTTGCACAAATCATCGCCATTATGTTTAGTTATTGTTTGCAAGGTTTTCGTCTAAGTTGTTCCCAATCATCGTTTCCCAAGTCTGCTACCACGAGTTTTGTATCTGGACCGAGTTTCATCCTCTTTAGTGTTTTGTTATTGTTCGCTAGGTTTTCATCTATGAATTTTTGCACAAATCATCTCCTTTGCCCACCATTTTGCAGCCCATCTCAAAATACTGTCGGTGGAATCCTATGTTGTTCCCCACCATCGTTTCCCAAGATAGATACCACGAGTTTTGTATTAGGACCGAGTTTCATCCTCTTTAGTGATTTTTTTTCTTTTTTCCTTTTTGTTGAACATGATCACAA